GTTTTTTTAATTTTTGTGCTATGAACAGAAAAGAAAATTTTGAAAAAAAGAAAAAAAAAAATTTTTTTTACTTTTTACTATAAAACATATCCAGTAAAAAAAAATAAACTTTCTTCATAAATTTACGACAAAATGTATTCTGCAATCCCAATAACTGTATATTAATTTGGTTTATGTGAAAGTTATAGCATCTACAAATGGTGATATCTGTACTGGAATTTTTTTTTTTTATACTAGTAATGGCGGCGATCAGTGACTTATAGCGGGACCGCGGCGGGTATTCTGACACTGGGTGGGAACTAATTGCCACTGAAATCCCCAGTGATACTAATACAGTGATCAGTGCTAATAAAAAGAGAACTGACACAGTGTGCTGTTTAACATTATGTGCTGTGTGTGTGTTTTACTAGGGAGACATGCTGCTTTGTATTGCTCTGCTGTGCAGAGAGATACAACACAGCATGTCCTTGCTGGCAGGAGACAGAACTGTGTTTACACACAGGTCTCTCTCCTGCCAGTTTTACACGGCGATCACCGGGTGGCGGCGTGGAATCCCTGCCCAGGACCCACTGATTGACATCGCTAGCCACCAATGGCGATGCGGGCAGGGTGGTGCGTGCTGCTTACCCAGAAATGCAAATCACTTCAAATCACCAGGGGCGGACTGACAACTCATGGGGCCCCCGGGCAATAGGGGATCATGGGGCCCCTGTGTCCTTGCCCAAACTCAAAAAAGCCTATGAAAAAAGGACCAGGGGCATCTCATGGGGCCCCCTACTGACCCCTGGCCCTCGGGCAGTGTCCGAGTTTCCAAATGGTCAGTCCCCCCCTGCCTGCCACCCTGTAGCAGTACTTCTACTATAGGTCGGTGGGAAAGCAGTTAATGGACAAGTGTCTTCTTCAGTCAACCACTGTCAAATGACAATAGTGCAACCCAGGGGCGGACTGACAACTCATGGGGCCCCTGGGCAATAGGGGATCATGGGACCCCTGTGTCCTTCCCAAACTCAAAAAAGCCTATGAAAAAGGTACCAGGGGCATCTCATGGGGCCCCCTACTGACCCCGGGCCCTCGGGCAGTGCCTGAGTTTCCAAATGGTCAGTCCGCCCCTGGTGCAACCACCAAGTGAACCATTACTTTTTTTTTTCATCCCACTAAACACCAGCGCTCCACTTGTCATAGCTGATTTGCCTAAATTACTGGTTTGTCTATCACCAATCACTGGCGCTCCCATCACTGCTTAAGACTGGGTTCACACTAATGCAGTGCAGGATACAGTGACATACAATGTCTGGGCTGTGCGATTTGAGCCATACATTTTGTATGGCTCAAATTGTATCACATCAGCACCAAAAAGATACAGGACCCTTTTTTTTACCCGCACCTGAATCGCATCGCATGGGTGCTCTCACCCATGCGATGCAACTTCTGGCAATCGCGATCTGTTTCAGGGTGTCATTAATTTAACATTGACACCCGCTCAAGGTCGTATGAACACCATGCAATTGCAATGCGGTGTGGGAAACGCACAGGATTTGCAGCGTTTCCCGCACGGCATCAGTGGAAGCCCAGTCTAAGGCCCTATTCGCGCCTAAGCGTTTTGAGGAAAAACCTCAATATTATTCTATGGAGATGGTTCATAATCTCCACTCCAAGTCACCCAAAGCAGAACGCCTGACGCTCAAAAAAGTTTTGTAGCTCCATTCAGGTAGATTGATACATTTTTGGCATGGTTTTTATTCCCAAAGAAATACATGAAAAATCGCACGTTTTCGTGCACTTTAGCGTGTTGCGTCACGCGACCAAGAGCATTCTTCTGACATTCCAAAACATGGAAACAATTGGTTTCACGGATTACATTTTTCTCTATTGGCTTTTACAAAAACGTCAGAACTCAAAACGCCTGAACAAATTACACACAAACGTTCACAAACAGATATAAAACCGCATAACAAAACGCGCAGAATAAATGCACACAAATGCTACGCTCAGGTGTGAATGGGGCCTTAGGTGGTGCAACACTATGCTGTTCTTCAGTTCTTAGGTTGCCACCTGCTGCAGCCTGCAGGTAGATGTGTGAAATCTGTACTATTTGTATGCTATTCATTTCATCAACTAAGGATCATATACAGAAAGATTATCAGTAGTTAAAGTGATACTAAACCCAGGACCCCGCATTCACTATATCCGCTCTCCCCGGACCCCGCATTCACTATATCCGCTCTCCCCGGACCCCGCATTCACTATATCTGGTCTCCCCGGACCCCGCATTCACTATATCTGCTCTCCCGGACCCCGCATTCACTATATCTGGTCTCCCGGACCCCGCATTCACTATATCTGGTCTCTCCCGGACCCCGCATTCACTATATCCCCGGACCCCGCATTCACTATATCCCGGACCCCGCATTCACTATATCCGGTCTCCCGGACCCCGCATTCACTATATCTGGTCTCCCCGGACCCCGCATTCACTATATCCGGTCTCCCCGGACCCCGCATTCACTATATCGGTCTCCCCGGACCCCGCATTCACTATATCCTGGTCTCCCCGGACCCCGCATTCACTATATCCGGTCTCCCCGGACCCCGCATTCACTATATCCGGTCTCCCCGGACCCCGCATTCACTATATCCGGTCTCCCCGGACCCCGCATTCACTATATCCGGTCTCCCCGGACCCCGCATTCACTATATCCGGTCTCCCCGGACCCCGCATTCACTATATATCCGGTCTCCCCGGACCCCGCATTCACTATATTCCGGTCTCTCCCGGACCCCGCATTCACTATATCCGTCTCCCCGGACCCCGCATTCACTATATCCGGTCTCCCTGGACCCTGCATTCACTATATCTGGTCTCCCCGGACCCCGCATTCACTATGTCTGATTTCTCACAGTACACACAACATGGAAATTAAATTATTTTAGTAAATCTAAACTGCTAAATACCGTTTCCCATCAGCAGTTAGAGCAGTCTTGTGACTTCTATGAGTGTCCAGTAGAGCACTGGTTTAAAGCTTGGAGGAAGAGTTTGTTTCATTCTGCTCTGGGAGGGTGCAGAACCCCTGACCTCTGTCTGGACAGTGCTGATTGGCCCTGTGCTGATCACATGCATTCTCCCAAGAAAAGAAAAAAACCTCTCTAGCAATACACACCAAACTGAACATGTGCAGAGTGACTCCACATGATATGTCTTATCAGAAGTTATTTAGAAGACACTGGAAGAAGGGGAGGATCAGAGAAGTCAGGATCAAACATCCTTATTACACAATGCCTAGGATAAATCCCTTAGATTCCACACTGGGTATAACAAGTAGGGCCGTGAATAAGGGGGGTACCACCAGTCCTCTTGTATGGGGCCCAGGCCAGCAGGGGGGCCCAGGCAGCTGGGTGAATCAGATGTAAGCAGGGAGGGTGATTGGCATGGGGGGGGGGGGGGGAAGTAATCACTGGAACTGATCCCCTGTATGTCTCTCTCTGCAGCAGTTGAAAGCAAGCTCCTTCTCCTCTCCTTCCTGCTGGCTTTCAGCTGCTGCAGAGAGCCATACACAGGATCAGTTCCAGTAATTGCCCCCTTCCCCGCTGCACCCATCACCTTCCCTGTGCACCATATGTTTCCCCCTGCTACCCAGGCCCCCCCTGTGTGCCTCCACCCCCAGAGTGCAGCCGGCTTCCCTCCTCTCCTTCCCACCGGCAGCTGCAAGCACACAATAGGGTCCTTAAGGATGGAGAGTGGGGAAGAGTTTGGTAAATATGTCGTGCACGTTTACCAGCCCCCTTCCTTTCCTGAATGAACACATTGAGTGATTGGTGCCGATCACTCACTGTGTTCATTCAACGCCAGGGTCGGGCTGACAACTCATGGGGCCCCCCCGGGCAATAGGGGATCATGGGGCCCCTGTTGCCCTTGCCCACACTCAAAGCCTATAAAAAAGGTACCAAGGGCATTTCATGGGGCCCCCTACTGACCCCGGGCCCTCGGGCAGTGCCTGAGTGCTTGAATGGTCAGTCCGCCCCTGTTCATAACTGAAGCGTATAAAACTGTGGGGGGTTTTGGGGGGGCTGTCAGATTAGCTGTTAGGGGCCACATGGTTTCTAACAGCAACCCCGATAACAAGCATGCTTTACTGCATATACAGACTGATTTTACTGTTGTGGGTTTAGTAACACTTTAAAGACACAAAAAACATATAAGTATTAGTAACTGGTCATACTGCTGGCCATACATTGGTCGATTTTTCTAATGAGCATAAAAAATCTGATTAATATTTTTGATAGAGTATTTCAGAATTTTATTTGCTTTTACCGTCCAATTTCAATATGAATGGAATTTCCCGATCGAACAAACATTCATTTTGGAAATTGGTTGGTTCATCATCCTGTTCTTTTGAAACACTTTCTGGTCACTTCGGTCAACAACTATCATCTATTTCCTCCCACTAACAATGAGAAAAAAACTGAACGTTTCGAAAACAAAGATTTTCCCCAACAACATTCACACACTTTCACCCAAGACTCACACATTTTCTAATTGATTCTTGGGTATAAATTGTGTGAATCTTGAGTGAAAATGTTTAAATAGACCCCTTCATCACAGTTTTGGTATGTTCTCTGAAAACCCAGCACTGGTAGATTTAACCAATTCAATACCGGGCAATTGTACACCTTCCTGCCCAGGCCAGTTTTCATGTTTCAGCGCTCTCACACTTTGAATGACAATTGCGCGGTCATACAACATTGTACCCAAACTAAAATTTTACAATTTTCTTCACACAACTAGAGCTTTCTTTTGGTGGTATTTAATCATCGCTGGGGTTTTTATTTTTTGCTAAATTTATCAAAAAAAGACCGAAAATTTTGAAAAATAACACATTTTTCTTTGTTTCTGTTATAAAAGTTTGCAAATAATTGTTCTTTATAAATTTAGGCCGAGATGTATTCTGCTACATGTCTTTGGTGAAAATAACCCAAATTAGGATGTATTATTTAGTTTGTAGGAAAGTTATAGAGTTCACAAACTATGGTATAGATCTGAATATTGATCAATCCTGAAGTACTGACAGCCAAGCTAATTTCTTGAGGTCCAAGAATGTCAGAAATAGTACAGATATCCCCCCAAATGTCAGAACAGTACAGATATCCCCAAATGACCCCTTTTTGCAAAGTAGACAGTCTGACGTACTTCATAAGAGGCATGGCGAGTTTTTTTGAAGTTGTGTTTTGTTTTTTTTTTGTTTTGTTTTTTTTTTTGTCATTTTTCGGAAAATAAAAAAAATAGTGAAACTAATTTTTTTTTTTAATTTTTTCTTTACATACTGTCACCAGTGCAGTACAGCGTCATCATATAACTGGCATGGTGGTGATCAGGGACACTGACTGGTGACAGTATGAAAACAAAAAATATGTATATAATTTTTTTTTTTTATTTAATTTTTTTTTTTTTTTTTTTTTTTTTTTTTTTAAGATATTTTTTTTCATATTTCACTATGTCTAAAGTAGTACAATGTTACCATAGTAACATTGTATTACTTTGGGAAAGTGATCAGTATTTTTTTTATTTTTTTTACACAATTTGCTTATAGCAAAGAATTACTTTGCTATAAGCATGCATTTACCTGAATGACATCAATTCATTCAGGGTTTTTTTTTTTGTTTTGTTTTTTTGTGCTTAGTTGTGATTTGGCCCCTGCTAATCACATGACATGTGCATGTGACCTGCTGTGACCATTCACAGCTAGACACTAGTATACAATGGATGGCATGAATGAAGCCATTCATTGTATACAACTCTCATGCGACCTGCTGTGATTAATCACAGCAGGTCACATGGTACCGGCAACGGGGCCGGTACTCAGATCTGTCATCGGCCGTGTCTGAGGTACACGGCCGGTGACAGATTGCGCTGCTGCGCAGCTCTGCAGGAGCGCAATCTGTGCATGTGCGGGAGGACGCCATATGGCCTCCACCCAGAACGCTGATGACATTTGCCAGCCGCCATTCGGCCATAGGGCGGGCGGCAAATGGTTAAGCATGGGAAGAATCAGTGCCAAAAAAAAATCTTGACAGGCCTAACCCCTATCCTAAGCCTGACCCTTAGGCTAGGTCATCACAGGTCACTAGTTAGGTCACCTTGCACATGTGGTCAATGCACTTGGGAACAACACACTTTTGGCTGCTGATATTTTAGGGTTTGTGTTTAACCACTTTCCTACCGCCCTATAGTAGATATACTGCTAGAGGGCGGCTGCTCTGCGCAAAATCACGTAAATATATGTGATTTGAAACTTCTGGGTAGGGGCGCCGCGTGCGACGCCCTACTCACAATGCCATTGGTTGCAGCGGATGTCAATCACCAGGTCCCGTCCAGTGATTCCTGTGATTGCTGCTAAAGTTGAGAGGGGAGAGATCTGTGTGTAAACAACACAGATCTCTCTCCTATTATTATATTATTATTATTATTTATTATTATTATACAGGATTTATGGCGCCAACAGTTTGCTCAGCACTTTACAATATAAAGGGAGACAATACAGCAACAGTACAGTTCAATACAAGAGGGTTAGGAAGGTTCTGATCCTGGGAGCTTACACTCTAAGAGGTAGGGGCTAGTGGTACAAAAGGTAGTACCTGCGGGGGATGGACTGGTAGGAGGAATAGAAGATTCCGTTATTAGCTGACGGCAGGATAGGCTTCCCTGAAGAGAGGTTTTCAGAGATCGCCTAAAAGTGGGCAAAGTAGGCGATAGTCTGATTGATTGGGGTAGAGAGTTCCAGAAGATGGGGGAGGCTATGGATGAGCATGGGAGGAGGGAGCTAGAGAGCAGGAGGTCATGCGCCTCCTGCTCTCTATCAGCATGGACATGTTGCTTTCTCTCTCTTTGCACAGCAGAGCAATACAAAGTAGCATGTCTCCCTAGTAAAACAAACACCGCACACAGTTAACCCTTTGCCCAGATGTTAACCCCTTCCTACCCCAGAGTGCTGCTGGCTTCCCTCCTCTCCTTCCCACCGGCAGCTGCAAGCACACAATAGGATCCTTCAGGATGGAGAGTGGGGAAGAGTCTGGTAAATATGTCATTTTTACCAGCCCCTTCCTTTCTTGAATGAACACAATGAGTGGTTGGTGCCGATCACTCACTGTGTTCATTCATAGCCAGGGTCAGACTGACAACTCATGGGCCCCCCGGGCAATAGGGGATCATGGGGCCCTGTTTCCTTGCCCAAACTCAAAAAAAAGCCTATGAAAAAGGTACCAGGGGCATCTCATGGGGCCCCCTACTGACCAGAAACTAACTCTCCTGCGCTCTGAGACCCAGATAGGTGGCGGATTTGACCACCAGTGCATATAGGGTTGTGCAGCTCCAAACAAGGCTGGGGAAGCCCGACCAATACTGCAAAGCGAAACAAAACAAAAAGCGCACCAATCTTGTGCATTACCTCAGTAACCAAATTTTATTCAGTACAGAATGATACAAACGGCAAAGTAATTCAATATTCAAGTCCTCAAAGGGACTTGAACATTAGGCAGCCTGGGTGAGTTCCATCCTAGGGGTAGACGCTCAGAACACTGACGCATTTCCAAGGGCATCCCTTCTTCCTCAGAGCTTGCAAGGTTGTTTCGCTTTGCAGTCCCCCTACTGACCCCGGGCCCTTGGGCAGTGCCCGAGTTTCCAAACGGTCAGTCCGCCCCTGCTTTTCAGAAAGCAAAGCACATTTTACTTTTCCCTAACCATTAACCTCACTTTAACTATATGTGGTGAGAGAGCATGAAGACAGCTATTGGTAAAAATACTATTTCCCTTATAATTACTGGATGTATACACCTTAAGGCCCCCTTCACACCTGTGCATTTTAGGTGTGGTGCATAAAAAGACACTTCAATGGTAACGCAACTAAAAAGGCACTTACAATGCACCACACTAATGTGAACAGAACCCAACACTGCTGTGTCCTAAACGGGCAGACTGACCATTTGGAAACTCAGGCACTGTCCGAGGGCCTGGGATCAGTAGGGGGCCCCATGAGATGCCCCTGGTACCTTTTTCATAGGTTTTTTTGAGTTTGGTCAAGGACACAGGGCCCCATGATCCCCTATTGCCCGGGGGGCCCCATGAGTTGTCAGTCCGCCCCTGGTCCTAAACCATGTGGCAAATCTACTGTTTGCAATTTTCTTTTAGAACTTGGCTTATTCTCGATGATATTATTAGAATACAGGATTTTCATAGTTTTAGCACTTTGTGCAGCGCTTTACAGAATACAGGTAGAAAGTATAGCTACAATTCAAGACAAGTGGCATCTGTTCACAAGAGCTTACAATCTAACGGTTAAACAATGTCCAAGGGATCATCTAGTTCCTAGTTTCCAAAAAAACTTGGAAACTTTGGCACACTTGAAGGTCAACTACAGTACGTGACACCTGAGCCAATCTACTGCTAAAAAAAGAGGCAAGAGGGATAGGAAGGCCTTGCTCGCAAGAGCTTACAATCTAAATAATTCACTATTAAACAATGTCCAGGTGTTTAGTTCCCAATGTGAAAAAAACGCTTGTGAACTTTGGCCTGCTAGCAGGTCAGCTACAGTAGGTGACATCTGAGCCAGGCTACAGCTAAACAAGCGACAACAGGGATAGGAGGGTGCAGCTTACAATCCAGATCAATATCTGTAAAATGTCCAAGTCTTCACTAAGTTCCCTGTCTCGAAAAAACTTGTGAACTTTGGCCCACTGGAAGGTCAACGACAGAAGATGACATCTGAACCAGTCTACAGCCAAGCAAGAGACAACAGGGATAGGAGGGGAGAATGTCACCAGCATGCCGAAGATCACCAATATGGGTCCAAACATTTTAATAAACGATCACATAGTTACAGAAAGGCAACGTTTCGGAGTCTTGCAGGCCCCTTTATCGGTCACATGCCTGATGGAGGGGTCCTGCGAGACTCCTAAACGTTGCCTTGCTGTAACTATGTGATCGTTTATTAAAACGTTTTGACCCATATTGGTGATCCTTGGTGTGCTGGTGACATTCTCCCTTGCTGATTCTGTTCGGTTCCAGCTGACGGTCGCTGCACTACGCACTTATACACAGCTACAATTCAAACTGCGTTAAAAATACACTTGCATCAGAGATAGGAGGGCGCTGCTCACAAGAGCTTACAATCCAAATCAGTTTCCATAAAGCAATGTCTAAGTCTTCATTAAGTTCCCAGTGTGAAAAACGCTTGTGAACTTTGGCCCACTGGAAGGTCAACGACAGTAGATGACATCTGAACCAGATTACAGCTAAGTAAGAGACAACAGGGATAGGAGGGCCCTGATCGCAAGAGCTTACAATCCAAATCATTAAACAATGTCCAAGTCTTCATTAAGTTCCCAATCTGAAAACGCTTGCGAACTCTGGCCCACTGGAAGGTCAACTACAATAGGTGACATCTGAGACCATCTACAACTAACCAAGAGGTGGGGGAATCCAGGCCACCCACTCCTCAGGTTATTTATATTTCTTTTTTGGAAACCAAACCCAATCCATTCGTTTTTATAAACCATTTGCAAACTGTCTTTGCATTGCATCACAAAATGTCCCATTGACATGTTGCTAAAATCTACAGATTATAGGACTGATGAACAGTATTCCTCATACCCCGTACTAATAATAATAATAAAAAGCTCTCCTATGTAAAAAAAAGTTTCACCATCAGCGAATAAAGAAAGTGACCATCATAAAAGTCCCAGTTCAATGACAGTCTTCCCAGACTCTGAGACTTTTCTGATGATCGCTTTCTTTATTGGCTGATGGTGAAACTTTTTTTTTTTTTTTTTTTTTGGTACTTGTCTGTTAATTCACCGGATTTATTTTTTCTATATAGTTAACATAGTTTAAAAGTTTTATTTAAAACTAATTACTTAGCTAGGATGTCAGTAAAGTGGGGTATAGATATATATATATATAAATAAATCCGGTGAATTAACAGACATGTACCCTTTTTTTCATAGGAGAGCTTGTCATTATTATTATGGGGACATCAGATAAGAGACGCTAATTTATTTATGGTACATATATATGGCCATCAACTTACGCAGCACTATATATATATATAGCACTGCAGCGTAAATTGACGGCCATATATATGTACGTGAAATAAATTAGCGTCTCTTATCTGCTGTCCCTGTATATCTATATCACAATGGTTAGCATTTTCGCCTGGCAGTACTACAGTCATTGGTTCGAATCCCAACCACAGCACCTCCTGCCTGGAGTTTGCATGTTCTTCCTGCCTGCATAGGTTTTTCTCCGGGTACTCCGGTTTCCTCTCACACTCCAA